GTCCTGGCTTCTTTTGTCACCCACACTGGATCAGTTCTCCTGTGTCTGCCTTGAAGCTCGTTCAAGCAGTTCAATTACTGATGCCCATTACTGGAGCATGCAAACCTCTCTGAGCTTGGATTCATGCTCAGCCCAGAAAGTGCTTTTATCCTCATTGTGCTGGAGATGGAGTGAGGCTAAATGACTTCCACAGGAGAGGCTGGAAATCAGTAGGAGAGCAGGAATCTAGAGCTGAATCTCTTAATCATCTTGCTGCTTCAGATGTAAGTGTTACAGCTGGAGGATGAAAAAAAGCTCTATCGTTTTCCTGTGGGTACAGAGCACAGGCCAAGCGAGCCTGAGCTGACATTTCAAAGACCTTTTGTTTTTCAAGTGGGTTCCTTCCATGTGGGAAAATGCTCTATTATCTTGGGGGGAGGGAGGCAGCAACTTGTCTCAGAAACGGCTCGGTTCTGTAGCCAGTCTGTTAGATGTCGGTCCAGACATTGTTTGGATGTCAGTCCACACGAAGGAGAGTGGATCTGACCAATGTGTTTACTTTGCCACCTGCTTTCACAGAAAAGTACATAAGCAAATTCAACTGTTTTGAATGCTTTCATGTGTGCATTTATCTTGCAGGAGAGCTATGTCCCAGATGATACTCGGAGAGGGAGCTCTCCCCAGACTGTGTTAAAAGCACAAGAACTGAGGATTCTTTTCAATGGGGGTATTTACATTCTGTTACAAAAGAAACACTGGGAGTATTTCACAGGCATTCCCGGAAAAGAAGTCGGCAGTAGCTGGACAGTATCTCAGTGCTCTTTAATTTGGTTTGTGTCAGAGAGATCTCAAAGTCAGGAATCACATTTGCAGACGCTTGGGCAGTTCATGAACTGCCGGGGCTGCCCAGAGGTTGTATAAAGTTAATGATGCAGAACAAAGCCTGTTCACATCCAAACTGCAGGAGGCACAGACCTGCTGCTCTCCCATCTCCTTCCTTCTCTCTGGGGATATGAGCCTTGCAGGGGTTTTTTCTGCCCCACTTCAGGTGCTGTTTTCTATCTCCCAGGTCTTGTGGGACAGCCTAAACCCTGACCTGGAACTGTTGCCCGCTGCATTAATGCCTATCCTCATGGAGCTGAGGAGAGTCCTTGAAGTGCAGAGACACCTAAGCAAGGAATTCCCAATAAATATTCCCAGGAGGGTGCTTAGAGACTTCTTGCCCTGCTGTTGAGGTGGAGGTTTATCACTGATCTAGGACAGAACTCCCTAGGCTAGAAAAGAGAACTCTGAATTCAAGTTCAACCCGGCTGGGTGGCAGGAAGAGCACCATTATCAATGTCAGAATTCAACCAGGGTATCCTGGCTTTTTCAAAATGCCATGGAGCCTGTGGTTCAGCTGACACAGGAGAGCTGTGTGACATAGCTCTCATAATCACAGCTTCCCTCACGCTGGGCTCGTCAGCACTGACTCAGGAGGTGAAATGTTCCCAGTGTTGCCCCTTGGGTGTTGGGAGCCTTCCAGCTGGGAACCACGCTGGGAGTCTGAAGGGCTGTGCTGCAGCAGGCACGTCTGGCAGATGGAGATGGATTCCCTGACTGGTCTATCTGTTAGATCTGGGCACTTCAGGGCATTTTTTTTCTTGGCACTTGCTTCTTCTGTTTTGAGTCTTACCAGGCATTTTCTTCTTCAAAGTAACATATGGAAATGGTTTGGGATGTGCCCATAGCAAACTGGTTCTGCACTGGGGACTGTTTCACACAGCTGACGTCAGCCAGACCAAAGCCTTCACACACCATCTCTCAGGGTCCACAGGGGTTCTGAGCCCATGAGTCATGGTAGGGTTTGAGCAGGAAGGTCAAGCACTGTCTTTCAGACTGTTTTTGCATCATATCAATTTCCTGCTCTGTTTCTTTATCATCTTTCATGTGCCAAAATTACAGATTTGACTCTGTAAAACTCATCCAGAGGCTCAGACTCCCTGGCAAACACTGAATTTGCTGAGGGACAAATGTCCTTCTGTCCCTGCATGTCAAATGTTTCCCTGCATATTTTCAGTGTCACATTGAAAGCTGTCAGGATCCAGAGTTTGACCTGGAACCCAGACGTCCTCAAATAATCTATTGTTAAAAGAGAATATATTTTTGTGTGTTTAGGTTTCTAATCTATGGATCTTCCTATGAATCACTGTGTGGTGCTGTGAGCCAAGGTGTGCAGCAGTAAGAGAGGGTTATTTTCAGTGCTAGTTAAAGCTTAAATGAAATAAAGGGAGCCATGCCCAAAGGACACAGTGTGAACTCTACCTCCGGCACCTCATGGTCCACAGTGAGCTCACAGGTTTTAATTCCACTGATTTTCTGCTGTAGATTTCAGGGCCGTTCGGGAAAACGGCAGCTTCTGTTTGTAGATGAAACCTTTCCCTACCACTATAACTTCTTCTTTGCCCATTCACTGCACCCCAAGATAGCACACATGTTGCAGTCGTTCTGACTGGCATGTTCCATGTTGTGCTCTGCCACTTTGAAACCCCATTTGTACCTCAAGGTGATGGGCATGCACGATTTACCATCTAAAAGTGTGTGAGTGTGACAAAACCATTGGCTGCTTCAATCTGCCGCTCATTGGATTCATTTGGCTTCAGCCCCAGAGGCTGCTCCTGGACTGTGGCACCTCACAGAACATGGTCCCAAGTTGGGTGGCACCTTCAGTAGAAGCCCCTGGCACTCCAGCTCCTGTGCAGCTCCCCACAGGCATTGTTAATTTGGCTGTCACTGCCAAGCAGCTCCTTCTGCTCCACGCACACAGCAGGGGTGGGTGACGTCTGTGCTCTTATTTCCCACTTTGGCTCACACACGCTTTCCCCCTGAGCTCTCCTCTGCTCTCCAGCAGCCACAGCCCTGGGCAGCAGATTGCTCCATGTGAAACTGATGCATAAAGTTGTTTGAAATGAAAGTTGTGGGAATAGCGCTGACGGTAATGCGAGTTACTTACTCAGGAATGTTTAATTAGATGGTTAAGACCAAGATGTGACTGTAATTCAGAGCAGACCAAACGGAACAGGGCTTTGTTTGCTTTTAATTTCCCTTACGTCTTTGGCGGTGTGAGAATTAACACGTGGGGATGTAGGAGCATCAGCTTATGGAGGTGTGATTTAACATGAGAGATCAACCAGTGCTGACTCACTGGGGAAAGCTGTGTCCAGTAAACCTGGGCTGGCTCCACAAGACTCCTCCTGAAAGCTGGTTCTGTCCTCCTTGCTCTCCTGGCTCCAGGACTCCAGCAGGGAATGCACTAAGTACAACAGAATACTTGTTTCCCTAAGAAAGAGGACGTTGCAGAACAGGTTTTACACAAGGGACTGAGCTTTGTTCCAGATGGGATCTATCCCAAAACAGCACCCAGACTTGTCCAAACAAGGAGGAGTGAGATGTGACACTAGCAGACAGCTTGTAAAGAAAAGAGGGGAGGTAAAAAGCCCAAAAAGAAATGTGTAGGTGGGAATGCAGATGACTTTTTGTGGTGTTTGGAAACTTCCAGTGGTTTTGAGTTACAGAAGGAACTGTTCTATAACCAGGTGAACAATGCTTGATGCTGTACTCTGACAGAGTTTCACAAATATTAATTACTCTTATTTATATTCTTCATAAAAATACCAGCTTTGAGTTTAATGTCGGAAAATCCTGGACTCTGGCTTCTAATTAACCCGGATTAGATAGAAGTTATCAAAGCTTTGGGGAATGTGAGCTCAGGGGCTGGACTGGCTCTGTCAGAATTGCAGGTCCAAGATCTACACCCAAGTTATTACTCTTTATTTATTTAATATAAGAGCTAATAAACAAGAAACGCCACAGCAGGTAGTTCCTGATGGCTTATGTGTCAATGCACAAACACCATTATCTTCTTATATCAAAATATACATTAAACTTGCTATTGAGAGTAATTTTCACTGTACATTACGTGATTCTCCCATACGGGTTCAGCACGAGTGACTGCTGGCTGAAATGATGTAACATTAGAGTAAAAATCCGAGTTATGCTCTGTGTTGCATGATAAGCAAATGCACAATTCAGGGTTCATTTTTAGGGAACATTTCTCCTTCCCAAGCCCAGAGATGGGCTCTGCTCGTGCCAGCACAGCCCGGATATTGAGTGACTTCAAACTTTAAATGATTTCTTACAGCTTGGAGTAGACAAAGTGAAGGGACTCAAAGGCTCATCTCAGCTAAAAAGACACATGAAATAATCCCCCACGCGGATTTACACTGATTGATTGTAGTGAAATCTTTGCCAAACTTGAATATCGTTTATTTTCCTTCACTTATAACAATCTCTGATCTTTTAACCGGGCTCCTTCCAGGCCGGGGATTGCCAGCACCCGCGGCCGTGTCGGGATGGAATTGATGCTCCGGGGGTCCCGCTCTCCTCAGGGCATCCCTCTCCCCGCAAGGTTTCCCTCCTTCCGACCATTCCCTCTCCCCTCAGGATTCCCCCCTCCTCTCGCCATTCCTTCTCCCCTCAGGATTCCCCACTCCTCTCGCCATTCCCTCTCCCCTCAGGATTCCCCCCTCCTCTCGCCATTCCCTCTCCCCTCAGCATTCCCCACTCCTCTCGCCATTCCTCCTCCCCTCAGGATTCCCCACTCCTCTCGCCATTCCCTCTCCCCTCAGGATTCCCCACTCCTCTCGCCATTCCCTCTCCCCTCAGGATTCCCCACTCCTCTCGCCATTCCCTCTCCCCTCAGCATTCCCCACTCCTCTCGCCATTCCCTCTCCCCTCAGCATTCCCCACTCCTCTCGCCGATCCCTCTCCCCTCAGCATTCCCCACTCCTCTCGCCGATCCCGCGCCCCTCAGCGGAGCCCCCCACGCCCCGTTCCCGCCAGCCCCGCGCGCCTTAAAGCCGCAGGCTCCTCCCGCGCTGCTCCCCCGCCCGTGCCCGCGCCGCGCCCACCGTTGCCCCTTTAAGGTTACCGCGGCGACGGGCCCGGGCGAGAGCGAGGCGCATTGACGTCACGGCGGGCGGGGCCCGTCCGGCCGGTCGGTTTCCGGTGCCGCCGCTGCAGCGAGGCCGCGGCCGGGCCGGGACGGGCGGGGGGTCCCGGCGGAGCCGCTGCAGGTGAGTGGGGCGGGGGCAGCGGTTGGGTGGCCCCGGAATAGCGGCGGGGCCGGGGGAGCGACGAGAGCCGGGCGGGACGGGCTTGGAGCGGGAGGCTGCGGCCTTGGGGCGGGGCCGGCACGGCACGGCCCGGCCCGGTTGAGGGAGCGGAGCCGGGGCCGCGGTTCCGGGGCTGCTGCGGGGGCAGGGGCGCTTTCTCGGGCAAGTGTCCTAGGGGGCCCCGCGGGCTGTGGGGCCGTGCCCGGCGGCGCTTTCGGGCCTTTGGGCCGGTTGTGCCCCCGTGGCTCCGTGTCCCCCGGCCCGGCGGTGCCGGCTCGGTGCCTCCCCGGTGGCCACGGCTTTGAAGCGACCGCAGCCCCGCGGTGCTTGAGGGACGGGCTGGGCTCGGCTGGGCGGGGCAGCCACGCCTTGGGGAGCTCGGGAAAGCTTTGGGAACGTGCAGAAAAAAATGGCTTGTAGAAATACCGGAGTTTTCATTTTGCCCGTGATACCGCATTTCCTGCACCGCTCTTGCCCTTCTCGCGTGGCCCGTGCCCGTGTCTGCTCACGGTAATTTGCGGGCGGTCACGGAGCCGCCGGGGTTCTCCGGGGCTGCTTAATTAGTGCTGACCTTCACCGTGCGGGCTGGCAAAACAAAAGGAGTAACTGGAGAACTTCTCGGCGCTTTCTCAGCCCGTGGGAAGGCCACGCTTTGTGTTTATGCAACGCACAATACACGTGTGTTTGTGTGTGTGTCCTTGAGCAGGGATTAGGTGTGACGAGAACGACACCTGGTTGAAGTGTTGGTAATTCCATATTAACTCGGAGCCTTCTGTAATCTCCAGCAGCAGAATTCGGAGGGGCACGTTGTTATGTTGCCTCTGTGCCCTCGGTCTTCCTGCTGCTGCTTCAGCAGGATAAAACCCATGATGTGACTTCAGTGACTTGTCATTTCTCAAAATTATTTTGACTGAATCCGTTTTTTCCCTTTCAAAAGCTGATCCTGGGATCAACATATCTAACTGCATATTAATAAGCTGTTGCCACACTCCCTGTACCAGGTAACTTCCTTTATATTTCATCCAAAAATGCCCTGAGAAATTCTTTCCTGTTTCTTTAACTCTCACAGTGTTAATTTTCTTATGAAAAAAATGACATGAAATGTGTGTCTATATACATGTGTGCGTAAAAAATGTATTTTAAAATGGTTTTATAACCTTGTGGTGGGCTCAGCCAGGCTAGATGCTAAGCACCCACCAAAACTGCTCCATCACTGCCCTCCTCAACTCAACAACAGAAGGAAAATAAAAGGAAAGGCTCCTGGACTGAGATAAGGGAGAGATCACTCACCACTTGCCATCATGGGCAAAACAGACTCCACTCGGGGAAATTGGTAATAAATTAAACTAATTAAATTTGGGTAGGATAATGAGAAATAAAGCCAAATCTTATAAGCATCTTCCTGGCCCTCTCCCTTCTTTCCAGTCTTAACTTTACTCCTGATTTTCCTCCCTTCACCACAGAGGATAGGGGTTGCAGTCAGTTTGTTCCACTTTGTCTCTGCTGCTCCATCCTGCTCAGTGGAAGACTCTTCACACCTTCCCTATGGGAAACCCCTCCATGGGCTTCTCCAATATAATCCTTCCTGCAGGCTGCTCTCCAGCCTGGTTTCCCTTCCATGGCCACAACTCCTGCCATAAAACCCACTCCAGCGTGGGATTCCCATGAGGTCACACCGTGCATTCTGCTGCTCCAATGTGGGGTCTTCCAGGGGCTGTGGATGGATCTCTGCTCCCCATGGATCTCCAGGGCCTGTGGATGGATCTCTGCTCCCCATGGATCCCCAGGGGCTGTGGGTGGATCTCTGCTCCCCTGTGGATCTCCAGGGGCTGTGGGTGGATCTCTGCTCCCCCATGGAGCTCCCTGGGCTGCAGGGCACAGCTGCCTCACACGGTCTGTGTCCCAGGCTGCCAGGGAATCCATGCTGTAGGGCCTGGGGCACCTCCTGCACTGACCCTGGGGGCTGCAGGGCTGTTTTTCCCATATGTTGCCACATCTGTCTGAAGTAGCCATTTCTCCTCCCTCCTTAAATACATTGCCCCAAAGGCTTTGCCACTGTCGCTGATGAGCCCAGCCTTGGCCAGTGGCCGTTTCATGTTGGAACTGGCTGCCATTGGCTCTGGTGGACATGGAGGAAGCAGCCAGCAGCTTCTCACAGAACGCCCCTGTTCCCCCTGCTACCAAAATCTGGAAGTGGAAACCCAGTACAAACTTGAAAGGGGGGGAAAATCTGCTTAAGAACATTTTTCAAAGTGTCATAGCTGAAGTATTTTGCAAGCCTGGTATCATAACAGATGCTTAAAGTTGTGCTCTTCGTTATTTACAGTTGGTGAGGTATTTTTGGGATTGCAGTGTATCCATGAAATAGCTGATGAGGTATGAACAGGTTTAAATTACACAGGAGCTTTTTAGGAGCAAGGCCTGTAATCCATAACTTCCGTTAGCAGAAGCTGCCTTGACATTTTGGCTTTGGCTTCAATCTGAACATGTTTCACTTCCGAATGCTGGTCATGCTTGGCCTCTCACATTTCCAGCCCCCACCCACCTCTCTCCTGGCCGTCATCCATGCCCATGACCCCACACAGACCACGCAGCTCCTGAAGGGAGCCTCCAGTCCTACAAAACCTTCAGTTTAAGCAGCAGGAAGTTCAGGTGGAATCTTCCCTGACTTGGAGCACTCAGAGTTGTTGAAGCTTTTTCAGTTCAACCAAATGCTTTTCCTTTTCTGCCTGTGGCTGTAGAGCCCCCAGAGTTTTGATTTCTGATTTCTTTCCAGGTGCTAAATAAGTTCACAGCATTTTCTTTAGCTTAGTTACTGCTCTGGTAGGTAAAGGTTTTTTTTACTGCGGTGTCAGTAAGATAATGCAGCATAACTTTATTTTAGGCAGCAACATCTTTGATTCCAGTAGTTCTTTATTATTTAACCTTCTCCTTCTCTTCTCTTCAGCAATGGCAGCTTCCAGCAGCAGCAGCAGCGAGGAGGAGCGGAGCCTCCGAGAATGTGAACTTTACATCCAAAAACACAACATCCAGCAGCTGCTGAAGGATTGCATTGTACAGTTATGCACAGTGAGACCTGAAAGACCCATGGGATTCATCAGAGAGTACTTTGAGAGATTGGAGAAGGTAAAAATACAGAATGGGAGGGAAGGAAGGTGGAACAACTTACATTTAAATGTATCTTGGGCATTTAGGGGCTGAGCTGCAGATTTGACCAGTTGTGTTGACTGTTTGAAATTGGAAGTGGTGCTTTTGGAAAACATATCCAATTTTCCAGTAGTTTGTGCACCTCTGTCATACCAAAGCCTGTAGGACAGAGCATAAGATGATGAGGAGACTTACCCAGCTGGGATACAGGTGATCCCAGCCCAGTGCTTACTCATGGAAGCTGATACACAGTGTACCTGGGTGTGTCTACAGCTGGAGAACTCAGGGGTTTGACCTTGCTGGATGCTGGTGAGGGCATTTGGATTCTTATATTGATTTTCAGTAATGTGGGTAGAGCACAGAAGTGGTGTCAGTGGTATGATCCAGGCCTAGCTGAAGACAAATGGAAGTATTTGCATTCCAGATCTCTGGAAGGGCGAGCCTGTTTCTGCCTTCTCTTGGGAATTCAGTGCTGGTGTCCCTCTTGTGTTTGTCCTGAGGTCTCTTTGGTGTTTTTGTTGTTGGCAGCATTCTGAGATCTTGGGAATGGAAAGCATTGAGTTGAAACAGTGATTTCACACTCTTCTGACCTGTTAATTTTGTATATTGATGTCTAAGCAGGTAGGAAAAAGCAGCTGCAGTGGAAATGGGAAGGTTAAAGGCTTGTGCAAAGGAAAGGTTGGATGCAACTGTACTCAGAACATGGAATTAGTAAATAATGCATCTGTGACCTTGTGCAGCAGTTGTTTGCAGGTGCTGCTCTCAGTACTTGCATAGGGCAGTTAGGTATTTATCCTATTTTTTTGTTCTAGTGAGTTACTAATTGCTGATATAAAGAAGAATGAAACTAACACTGAACATCATAAATATGCCTGGTGGAAACTGTGTTTTAATGGAAGTGTTCAGGATAAATACTAGAAAATGACCAAGGGGTGCAGACTACCTGCTATAACTCATAATATATTTGGAGAACATTTTGTTTATTAAATGAAGAGCTCTGACTTTTTTTTTGGTGTGTGTATCAGCAACAAACCAATTAATAATGAGGTTCTTAAAAATCCCTTGTCCTTGCCTGTTACAATGACTCCTTCCCCTCTGTGGATTCTGGAGTTTTGAAGTACTGCTAGGTTGGGAATTCTAAAACATCACCACAGGTATCCATAGACAAAATTTTACCAGGTAAACTGCATTACTGTACTTAGAATAAATCCTAAACCAATCCATATGTGGACATGTAAAATGGGATTATTTGGGTGCTTTTGTGCAGTGGATTTATGGTCAACATGCAGTATTTGGGAACTTAATTTGTTTTTCAGCAAGATAACAAGTCCAGCTCTGAATTTAATGACATGAATGCTGGAATTGAGTAAGTTGATGATTTTATTCTGGTGCACACTGGCTCTCTGTGTACTCGGTCAGCCTACACTGAAGCTGAAAATAAAACTGGTTAGGTAATGTTTTTTCCCCTTAAATTACTCTCACAATTTTGGTCAGGGTCTTTTCTCATGGGTTCCAAGTGCCCTCTAGTGCAGCTGTAGCTACAAGTGAAACTGGAGCATTTTTTTCTTGCCTCCTAGTATTTAAAACTTGCTGCAGTTTCCTCTGGGTGGTGTCCCCACTCGGGCTGGGCTGAGTTTACCCTGGTGATGATGTGGTACCTTCACAGCTCTCAGGTAACAGAGCAGTGAACATCCTGTGCTGGCCAGGAAACTCCTGACATCCTTCTCTGGAGAGCACAAATGCTCAGTAATGTTATTAACCAGCTCCAGCCCAGCCCTCAGCTCTGCTACAGAAAAAAAAAAAAACAAACAAAACTCACTCTGCTTCACCTCCCCAAATCCTGTCTTTTACATCTGTAATAAAGCAGAGCAACTTTTCAATGTGCTTTCCAAATTTTCCTCTCTGTGACTGTATCTCAACCTCAGGTTTTTTCATAAGATGGATTTTTGAAGGAACAACATTGAAAACTGAAGTGAGGTTGCTATTTTCTCTCTCATTCTCTTGACAAGTCATGTCTTCCACTGCACACAAACAGAGCTGATTCACTGGCATGTTATTAAAATATGTTGAAGAAATTTAAACATGCTTTAGAATTTCTGTTCAGAAACATTAAAATTGCTGCCTCCGAGATGTTACAGCTGCTATAGGAATTTAAATATCCTCCTCTGGGTTATGAAAGCTGTTAGATGAATCTAATTACTACTCATTGATTGTATAAATGGTTTTATTTTATCTGTTTGTGGTGTGCTAAGGCCTCTGTTCTCTTTGCTGTGCAAACATGTCTGGTCATACCAATACCTGCTAAAAGCTGTAATAGCTCTCCAGTGCTGGGCTGGGCTGTGTAATGCAGCTTGAGCTATGGAAATTTAATGTAGAGATCATTATTGCAGCCTGCCACATGAATCCTGGCTGTTGGACATGACTGTCCTGTGGAATAAGTGCATGCTTGAAATATTGTGTGTGATGCAGTTACTTTAGAGAAAGCTGGAATTAGGAAATGTGATGGACGTGTAGTCACTGTCCCTGCTCCCCACCACCTGCCCTGCTCAGATATCTGAATATCTGAATATTTCCCCCTTTCCTTTAAGTGTTTCTTTTGCAAAACAAGCTAGTTTGGGAGGATATACTGTGCAATTCTGAATTTGTGGCAGAGGTTTTTAAAAAATGCTTTTATAGCTTCTGAATGTTTGGGGTTTTTAAAATATGGTATAAATTAAACACTAATTAACCAGAGGAGGTTGCGACTGTGTCTGGTGCAATGACAATTAGCAAGTTTTACAGTGTACACCACAATTCTGAAATTGTAAAAGTCTTCTTCAGTAGCTGATAGACTTAAATCTGAGTATGTGAAGTGTCATCACTTCAGTATTACTTGTCATAATTGAAATGGACTTAATAAACATTTGTTATTTGTCAGGAAAAATAAGACTTGCAGTTCATGACTGACAATGAGCACTGTGAACTGCCTCATCAGCTGAAAGACCAGGATCAACACTTGGATATAATAAATAGATTATTCCTAAATCTGTCTCAAATCCTGGGAATGTTTATACTGATGAGAGCAAGCTGAGTGTCTTTATTTATTATATGTTTAATGTGAGGAGCTTCTCGAACAAACACGTTTTCCTCATAAACTCTGGCTAAACCCAAAGGTATCTGAGAATAGCAACTGCCACTCTTTCTTTAGGTCCTACTGTAATTTTTCTCTGATCTAATAAATGGGGTTTAGTGTCAGAAATTGTAAAAGGTGTCTATTAAAAAGATGAAAATCGAGATTATAGGATGTCATGGCACAGGCTTGTCTGGCAGTGTGTAATATGAATATCTGGAGATTTATGGTTTAGTTGACATAGTGATGTTTGGAGTTGATGATCTTGGAGGTCTTATTTTACCTCATTCTGTGGTTCTATTTTATGATTTATCTCAGGGAGAATCTTCTTGTTAAGTGTGTATATGGACTATTTAGAATAACTGGAGTATTTTAAATTATTGCATTATTTTACCCTCTTGTAACTTGTTTCTGTGTCCATCACCTTCCTTAATTTACTATAAAAAAAGTTAATATTAAATTTTGAGTCAGACAGAAGTTACCAGTTACATTTTCTTGTGTTAGTGCACCTTCCATCTCCCTGAGTGGGGCATTGCCCTCAGGAGTCTCTTGAAGAGTGTTTTGATAACAACTCCCTCACTAAATGCTGCTGAAGTGCTTCCATCTCTGATCACAATATTTAATATTTTATGTGATACTGGAAAAACCCCAGCAGCTGGTGTTCACTTATTTAAAAAGTGTCTTTTTTTAATGGGTTTAGTATTTTGTACGTGAACAAACATGTTCTGTGGTTGATGGTGAGGCAGTTTACACCAAACACTTATTACTGCTCAGGCTATTTTTAATTTCATCTCTGTTGAGACTTGTTCCTCTAAAATCAGAGGACAGAAACGAGTTTTAAATACATTTTGCTCCCATGGCTGGGAAATGTGGCACCATTTTATCAATGGGTAGAGAGCAGGAAGTGAAATGTGAGGCAGTGGAGCTCCTTGGCTCTGGGAGAAGGGGAATGGAAACTCCCAGGAATGGTTTTTTCCCATGGCCCTTCCCTCAGGCTGGTGTTGTTATCCAGAGCCTCAGTGCCCAGCTGGGATCAAGGACACTGGGACAAACCCAGCTTTTACTGGAGCTGGAGCTCTGGGAGAACAGATGACTCCTTGTTCTTTTACAGAATGTCCCAAACCTCTGTTTCCTAACACTGGGAAAGTCATTTGAGCTGTTGTGATGTCAATGTTCTGACTCCAGGGTTGGCTGTTTTGTTTTTAATCTGATTTTAGTTGATTGAGGTGAATCTTTTGAAGAATCAAATTTCTGTGTGTCAAGTTAATTAGAATTTGTGTTATTGTAAGTACCCTGGTCTTCTACAGTATCACTGCAACACAATAAGATACCGAAGGAAATAAGGAAAACGTGTAACCTTGTGCAAAGGTTGCATTAAAAAAATCCCACTTTGGCCTCCAGCATCCTTCCTCCTGCTCTCTTAAAAGCAGCGTTCATGTTTCTTTCTCCTAAAATAAATGTTGGTTAACGAGTATCAAGTTGGGCCATGACTCAACCTCTTTCAAAAGCTTCTCATGTAACACGGATTTCTGAGGAATTGCTCCTGTGTCTTTCAACTCCAAAAAGGCTTTAACACCTCGCAGCTGAGGGCAGGAACTCCCTCCTTGCAGCTGAGGAAGTGCCTTCAGCATTTGAGGAATGTCCTCATCACCTGTTCAATACGCTGGCAGAAACCAGAATCAACTCATTCACACCAATGGTTTAATAAATGAAGAATAACTCAGTAAATAAACACCATTGTGATGTGACTGGTAGGAATGAAAGGCACATCTACCACGTGCTTTGAAAGGCCTTTGATCTCAGATGCTGCAGTCTCCTGTTTGCCTTAATGTGGGAATAATGGTACACAGGAAGCTCCCTGGTGTTGGCAGGCTGGGCTGGAACATGATACATGACTGCTTTTTCTTTTTTTTTTTTTTTTCTTTTGGATTATGTGACACAAACATGTCTTCTTCCTGTTCAGGAGGAAACAAAGCAGTTGTTGAATCAGCTGAAGTCTGGTTCTCGCTCTGACTCCCGGGAGGATGAGATCTCCCCTCCTCCTCCCCTCAACCCTGTGGTAAAATATCGATCACGACGTGGGGCCATCAGTGCAGAAGTCTACACAGAAGAGGATGCTGCCTCTTATGTTAGAAAGGTGCTGTGACTCTTCAACTTGCTCAAAACTCTTCCATAATCCAACAGTTTACCTTCTATCCAGGGTATTAAATAACCTGGAGTCTGTTATGTCATAATTGCTGTAAAAAGCAGACCTGTGTGTGTGGCTGTTTCACTGAGGACAGAATAACCTATCATGCAATTAAACCATTCATGCATTACTTAGACCTGTTCCCTTTGAAGTCATGTATATTTAAATGTGCATATATTTAGATATATATAATGTGCTTCCAGTTATTTGGAAGCTGCAAGAACATTTGGCCTAATGGCAGAGCAGGCCTGCTGCTGTTCCCAGGAAAACACAGATATTGAACAGATATTTGTCCTCTTGCAAAAAAACTTAAAAACTGAGCATAGATTTATGCTTCTCAGTTGTATAAAATAATACAAGATTATATTTTCCTTGTGTTCAAACTGTCTGTAAACATTGACTATATTTGGGGTTGTATTTATAGTGCTTGAAAGAAAATGGAAAAACTCAGCCAGTGTTTTGTAGCAATTTAAGTTATTTATTTACCATGGGAAATGCAGATATTTTTTGTGAGAAAAATTAACCATTTGCTTTCTGTGATTCTCTCCTAGGTTATTCCAAAAGATTATAAAACCATGGCTGCTTTGGCAAAAGCAATTGAGAAGAATGTGCTGTTTACCCATCTTGATGATAATGAGAGGAGGTAAGAGGAAATCCTTGTGGGGTTAAGGTTTGTGGAAGGGCAGAGTTCAGAAGAACTAAATGTGTCACAAATCTGCAGTGGTCAGTGGAAGCACAGAGCTCCAGGAGCAGCATTGCTGGGTTGGGGGTACAGATGTGTGGGGTTGTGCAGGATTTTGTCTGATTTTGGTGTCCCCTCCTTCAGTGACATCTTCGATGCGATGTTCCCCGTCACTTACATCGCAGGAGAGACTGTCATCCAGCAAGGCAAGTGCCACTGTTTGCTCTGGGGACTCCTTTGGGGATGAGGAGCTGGCTCTGCTCAAGTGCTCTCAGTTTGTGTTTATTTTTTAGTATAAAAGCAGGGTCACTGCAGCCACACAACTCCTTGTTGTGTTCCCTGAAGCACTTCAGTATGAAGTGGGCAGTCAGAGCCACTGGAGGAGGATGTGGCTTCCTTGAATAGATTGTCTGTTGGGAATATTGTCCTTTGACTCTGTAGAAATGTTATGTCAATTCATGGAACAGGTTTGCCTTTCCAGTAATCCTGGAATTGCTGCTGCTCTCCTGGGTACCAGTAGATGTCCCCTTTCATGGGGCTGAGAGGAGTGTGAAACCAGCAAAATGTGATGTTTCACCCTGCAAACTGTGCAAAAATTTGTCAACCTTGTTGGAGTATAAACATCAGAGTTGGCAGAGATGCCAGTTCTTTCTTAGTATATTCAGTTTAGTGTATATTCAATGTTTTTTCCTCTTCTTTAGGTGATGAAGGTGATAACTTCTATGTTGTTGATCAAGGAGAAATGGATGTAAGCATTCCTGGTAGTTTATTAATGATATGTTCATTCCTAGCAGAAGAATACTCTGATATTTGTAGGCCTCTTCTACAGACCCTGCCTTTAGTAGCTTTTCTCATTTTAAGTTCTTACATATAGAAGTTTGTTTTGCTCTTTAACAGCTCAGTCTGGCTTTACAGATTGAGTTTCAAAACAAATGATTTGGACACAATACAGATGTTTTAGGCATGCAGGGTGGAGTTGAGGTGTGGGGCAGGCTTTAAGTACAACCAGGTTTTTTATTTTCCAGCCTAGCTCATTTATAGCTGTCTATGACACAGACCTTGTTGAGATGTTATTTCTCAGGAGTCTGTGTGTGTAGAGTCTGTGCACGAGATGTAGAAGAGAATCCCTTTGTCAATGAAAATACAAATTGTGCTGGGGTTGGGAGCGTTGTTAAAACCCTGAAATGATCAACCTTAGTAGAGATGTGAGAATTTCCTTGTACTCCCGAGGGAATAGAGGGCAGCAGGGAGCTGAGGTGTGTCTGAGCATGCTCTGCCTTCCAGGTTTACGTGAACAGTGAGTGGGCCACCAGTGTGGGTGAGGGGGGCAGCTTTGGAGAGCTCGCCCTCATCTACGGCACCCCCCGAGCTGCCACCGTCAAAGCCAAGACCAACGTCAAGTTGTGGGGCATTGACAGGGACAGCTACAGAAGGATCCTGATGGCAAGTACCCCTCAAAACCTGGCTGTGTGCTTTGGGGGTTATGTATGCTGGGTATCTGTCCTTCTGCCTGTACTTTGCTGGAGTTATTTATTCCAAATCCTGCTCTCTGTTCAGTAATCAGCTGATTACTCAATGTGCATCTCTCAGGCACAGGGCAAGGAGGAATCTTGCATTAGTGAGCAAAACAATGCCACTATTAAACTGAGCTGAGAGTGTAATAAGGCTGCAGTAAATGCTGAGTGCTTTAGGAATGTTGCTCAACTGGAATATTACTGAGAGAACTCAATTTCAAAACATTTCATCTTGTGGGTTTGGGGTCTGTGAGACAGAACACTGTGTGTCTGGTTAAATTTGTTTGTGTCTGGAATTTTATTTAGAGTAGAAAGAAAACTTACTTTGTGTCCTTTCCTTTTTCTTATAGGGAAATACTTTGAGAAAGAGAAATATGTATGAGAAATTCCTTAGTAAAGTATCTATATTGGGTAAGTGAAAAGATTTTTGTTCTGGAGTGGAATCAATTGCCACGTTGTAATGAAGCTGTTACCCAGCATTATGATGATTACAGGCTGTTGTGGTCATTCATCACAACTGCTTCTCTGCATCAATCCAAAATAACTCCAATTCAGGTCTTGATCACTGATACACAAATGCAGCCAGAAATACGCTGACCTCTGTATAAATACAGAGCAAAAGGTTTAATTTGTGCCTTGGGAAGACCCTCTAGTAATGAACTCTTCACTCTGTAGAATCTCTGGACAAGTGGGAGCGTCTCACTGTGGCTGATGCCTTGGAACCGGTACTGTTTGAGGATGGCCAGAAGATTGTGGTCCAGGGAGAGCCAGGAGATGAGTTCTTCATTATCTTGGAGGTAAGCAAGCTCAAAATTAAAAGCTCAGAACTTGACTCTTCTTAATAGTGTCCCTAAGCAGGCACTTGGAGAAGAACAAAACATAAGAATGTACTTCCAGAGAATCCCTAAAGAAACATCATCTTGCTGGACATGCAGTAACTTGGATTTAGTTTTACTGTTTTCACAAATCATACTTCCAGGCAAAAAAAATAGCAAGTTTCTGACTGAATGGAGTTTTATCTTTTTGAGATTAGAGACCTGTTCTAGATAGCTGGTAAATGCCTTACTAGTGTTGTCTTTTTTTTCTGACTAGTGGTTTGTGTTTTTCCTGGGTTTTTTGCTAGTCATACTGTAATATTGTTACTGTCACTGTCATGAGGAAAACCAGGAAGAAGTCACTGGTGTGGATATGTAAATGTTCAAGATGTTAATGCTTAGAGAGGAGAGGAACAGTTACTCTTCTACAGCAGTTAGGTGAAGTGTGCAAGGACCGTGAAGTGGTTTTTAAACTGAGGCATCATGACAGTTATTTCTACAAAGCAGCTGATTCTGTGTGAAATTCAGCGTTTGCAGTGATGCTGGACATTCCAGTTGTTTGACTGCTGTCATTTATTGAAGGGCACAGCTGCAGTGTTACAGCGCCGGTCAGAAAATGAGGAATTTGTTGAAGTGGGCAGACTGGGACCTTCTGATTACTTTGGTGAGTTGTGTTGTGACAGCTGTGGCTGCAGACACCACTGTCACTATTTTGTCTGTGCTGTGTCAATGGTAGAGATAAGCTGGATTTGTTTGATTACTGTTTTGACTCCTGTGGTTGCTCTCAGTGTCGGGTGAGTGTCAGAGTCACTTGGCACTCAGGTGTGCACACAGGATGTGATTGTTCCACCCCACTTTACTGTAAATGATGATTTGGCCTGACCTCCCTGCTCTGAGCAGAGCTAAATTTGAAATTACTTCATATTCCTCAGGGCTGTGTCCAGTTGAGTTTCCTGTGTCTCCAGGGATGGAGATCAGACAGCCTCTCTGGGCAGTTTCTTTCTCTGTCTAACCAGCCTTGTTGTGGAGAGGTTTTTACCTTCATGCCTGACAAGAATTTCCTGTTCTGCAGCCTGTTGCTTTCACTCTGTCTTTGCCTGTGCAGCCTGGGTTTGTCTTTGTAGTCACTCATTACACAGCTGAAGACAGCAGGAGGATAAGAAAATTCCTTCTTTGGCCTTCTGTTCTCCAGGTCAGAAGGAAACCTGGTCAGAACCTGCTGTTTAATGGTTAAATACAGCTCTCTCCCTCTCAAAACCCCTAACATTTTTCTCATTTTTAGGTAGTTCCTCTCTTTCCTCTTGCTAAAATCTTTTAGTTGTCCAGGTTTTCAGCTCTGTAGATGATGTAAGCAGCAAATCCTCTGTTGCAAGGCCTGCATTGGGATGGACTCGAGTGCCCAGGCTCCTCCCAAAGGCCTGCTTGGCTCAGGATCTAGGACTGGACTTCATTCTGTGTCGTTTCATATTTTCTAATATTTCCCTCTGTGTTCTCTTGAGTTTCCCACTCTCATGTTCAGGTGCTGCAGACCTTTCCTTCAGGGGTCTAACTCTCCCTTAGAACCTCCTTATTCTTTAGCAAGCCTCTCTTTTGGAGGTTGCTGAGTTCAGGAGTTTTAATTGGGCACAGAGGAAAAGTTTTCCTCATTTCTTTTGGACATCCCTTCTGATAATGCAGGCAAAAGTATTCTCCAAGGAACACCGAGTTCTTTCCTCAGTCCTGAACATGGAAAGAACTCAAGTCCAAAACCAAGCAAACAAAACCCCAGAGCTGCTGCTGTGGTTTCTTCCATGCTGCTTGTAGGAATCTTAGGGTCTGTTTTCTGTTGCTGATAACAGGGTCTTGTTGAAAACTTAATTTCCAAATATGTTGAAACAAAGCTTTTGGTATATTTATGCAAAACTTAAGAAATGGGGAATCCAGTGGGACTTCAAAATGCTCCTTTTCTATAGCCCCCATGGCAAAGTCAGTCTTGATGGTCAAAGGCTTCTGTCTTCTGCTTTTTTACTTCAAAACCATGCTCTTGTTATCCTGAGTTTCCTAGAAACACCAGAATTGAGCAGAACTATTAGAAAAATAACTCCTTGTTGGCTAGGAAAATTACGTGGTAAATTGAAACATGACCTTTCCTCAAACACAGTATTGAAAATTTTTTAGGCTTTTATGTCAGAGAGACTTGAATGTGGACAGGCTTTTTAATAACAAAATCATGAAGTAGGGCTTTTTAAAAAACTGCCTTCACGTTGCTTTTAATGTAATTACTTTTAATGTAAGTACTTGCTCTGAGCAGTGCTGAATCCTGAATTATTTTCCCTGCAATTTGAAGTGGAGAAGGGTCATTTCTTTGCCTCTTTTTCCCCTTGATTGGTAACTGTGTGTGCTGTTTGTGCTGTCCCAGGTGAGATTGCTCTGCTGATGAACCGTCCTCGTGCTGCCACCGTCGTGGCTCGTGGCCCCTTGAAATGTGTGAAGCTGGACCGGCCCCGGTTCGAGCGTGTGCTGGGTCCCTGCTCTGATATCCTCAAGAGGAACATCCAGCAGTACAACAGTTTTGTATCACTGTCTGTCTGAAACCTTCCTCCCTGTCCAAGCCATGCTTCACGAATGCAGACTGCTTTCTTCCCCTTGTGCAGAGCCACATCGCCACTTGGCGTTTTGCAGCTTCCTGTCCGGTTAAAACAGAAAAAAAAAAAAAAAAAAAAAAAAAAAAAAAAAAAAAAAAAAAAAAAAGGAAAAAAAAATAAACTGCTTATCATGGCACTGTCATTAAGTTAGAGCATATTATTTCTGTGCTCTCTGTCCCATTAAATTAATAGANAAAAAAAAAAAAAAAAAAAAAAAAAAAAAAAAAAAAAAAGAAAAAAAAGGAAAAAAAAATAAACTGCTTATCATGGCACTGTCATTAAGTTAGAGCATATTATTTCTGTGCTCTCTGTCCCATTAAATTAATAGAAAAAGTTCAATGGAGACGTTTGCTTCTCTCTGTGCACCAGTGTCCAACTCAGGCCAGTGCAGCCTTGCTTCAGCGAGGGAGAGACCTCCTGGCACCATGCCATTGCCATAGAGTGAGGAGGTGACAGTAAAGGGGGGAAAAATTCATTTAAAGGTGTTTCTCAAATTATTGGGCAGATTTTAAGGCTGTGGTCATCACCTGCTGTATTTCTTTTCACATGAGAGCTACCCTTGTAATTGAGCTTCTTGGGGCTTGGGGTTTTCTGGGTTTCGTTTCCATTTTCTGGGTACTGTAATCCTGGGTTCAATCGTGAGGCATCAGCTGCTAAGAAAGCCACAGTTGGAATTTACCAGTATAATTGTTCCTGTGTCTGCTGGTTTAAGATTGCATAGTTCTGTTCTTGTCAAGTGTAAATCAAAAGCTTTCCAGGTTAATAGTTCTGGTGAACTACTGCAGTTGTTGATCCATTTGCTGACTTGCCGCAACTGATCTTTTTCACTTGTTCTTTCTCCAGCCATAGATTTGCCATTTCAAACTCTTCCTGTTCCAAGTGGCAAGAACCAAATGCTACATGAAATGCCTGACTTTGGTCTCTAGTACATAGATTGGTGTAAGAATGGTGCAGCTGTCCAGCTGTTAGTACTGTTTGAGTGCTTAGATTGGTGTAGAAGTTGAAAGCAAACATTTGATTTTTTTCTCTGTGAATTGTTTTGTTAATCCTCAGTTGACTTTTAAGAAATCACCATCAGTTCCAGTGACCCTTTGTTACCAGGGAAAAGAAATGCTGAGTGTTTTGGCCAGTATGAGTTGCAGGTGACAAGATTGCTGGTCTGTAAAGCTCCATTATTCTTGGTAGAGAATGTGAGGCAGAAAAACTGAATGTTTGAACTTTGCTGCAACACTCAGTTGTTTTAAGTATTTAGAGCTGTCAGTTCATCATTTGAAAAATGGTTCACTATAAATCTAGTTCAAAGCCAAAAGGTGCATTCTCTTTTCTTGCTTATGGAATTTCCACCACACTTATTTCATCCTTTTTTTTCTTTTTTTTTTTTTCCCAAGTTCAATCTGTTGCGGAGTCTTAAATGTATTTCAGTATTTCCCAGCTTTGTGTTCCATTACTCTGTGCTCACCAAGACTTCCCAAAAGTTTTTACTGAATTCCACGGTTCAATAATTGTAGGCAATTTTTAAGGTTTCCTTTAAACTGTAATTTATATCAAGTAGCATAGGTTTGTATTTGGGAGTGACAGCAAGCAGTTTGGCATTTGTTGTGCAACTACTTTAAGGATGGAGCCCTCGTTTTATTTCCTTTCTGAGATGGAGTGGATGCAAATCCAACGTTTTCCCAGGTATGGAGAGAATCAGGAAGAATCTGCTAATTCATGCAGAATAATACTGAAGGTATCAAGCCTTTACAAAAGGTTTCAGGGTATTTCTGAAACTGAAATCCCAGGAAGGGGATTGAAATGCTTGTGGTTTGAGTTCTCTATTCAAGAGATGTTGAATAGAGGATTTCTCCCAGAGTCCTTAAGGAATAAGCAAATGCTACCTTTTTTTGGTTCTTTTTTGTTTCTTCCTTTTCTTTTTTTTTGGGGTAAAACTTTTTTCTTAAGTTTTTACTCTGCAGTTTTTTTCTTCATATGTGTTCTTTGTGTTATATTAAAGCACCAAAAACTGTGTAAACCAGTTAGAGATCCACAAAAAAATGCACATTTTTTTTATATAAGGCTTTCTAATCAAGTTTCACTACTGCATCTTTTTAGCTTGCTGTTTACTCCCTTTTGTAGTTTTACCTACAAGATTTTAAGATAAATCAGCTAAGTCTGAGTTAAATATTAAACACAGTTATAGCTTTACCTTTGTGTGCAATTTCAATATGTTTGAAACCACAATTGGCATAGTTTTGCCTTAGCTAACATTCAGGGCTTTAGAAGTAATTTTTTGCTAGTCTATCTTCAGCAAATTGATGAAGTCTATTGCCCTAGGAAGCTATAGTCAACCAGAGGACCATTTTTGTATTGTTACCTGACTCTATAAGTCTGATTTACTGTATGTGCTAATATATTATATTATATTCCTTTTGTTATAGATTGTCCTAATGGCAGGTAAAGCAATAAAATGATTTAAATTCTTAAATGCAATCAGCCTCTTTTATTTTTACCTTGTGTTTTCCTTTGGCTTTAGAGGATGTATTATGAATGAGGCAGCAGAAAATAAGCAGCTTAATGGATTAGCTTGGTGGAAACTCCAGAGGGGTGAGTTCAGGTCCTGGGCAGAGCTTGGTCTCCACGTGCCAGCCTGGGAATTCCTCTGCATTTGTGCCTGGGTCCTGTTTGGCTCCTGGCAACTTGTGCTGCTCTGATCTCTCCCAGGGTGTTAATTCCCAGCCCAGCCATGATTTTTGGAGCTCAGGAGTTTTTCTAAGTTGGCTGCTCCCATTTCTGCAGCCCCTTAATGAGCATGTGATGGATAATCGTGAGTAAGTTGTGGTGGGAAATGGAAAAGGGGCATTTTCAGAAGTAGGGAAAAAAATGGAAGAGTGACCTGAAGCAGCTCAGACTTGGATGTGTTTTACACCCAGCTCCAAGAAAGCTGATCCACCCAGCTTTGAAGGTCCAGTAAAAATGTATCTATCACGTAAAGAAGAATAAAATTAAAAAGAACCCTCTTAGTGTCCCAGCCATTTAAATATCCGTGGATTAGTTTCCTTTACCCTGCCCTCCCTTTCCCAGTCCCCTCCATTGAAAAAAAAAACAGGCTGAAAACAGAACTTTTGTTACCTAAAGTGAAACTTTAAACCCTCCACTTCCAGCCTTATAACTAGAAATACATTATAACTACAACTTTAATTTCAGCTTATCTTCTGTTGCCATGTGCTTCCTGTTGAAGCAGCAGTCACCATCCCCTGACAAACGATGGAATTAATTCTGGGTTTGTCCTGTGTGGGGAGAGCACAAAAAGTCACCGGTAGAGGGAGATAAAACTTTGGGAGTTCATTGTCCTGGACAGAAATAACTAACAGAGCAAACATGCTGGAGAGTCATATCCTCTTATTTTCATCTGTTCTCTGTCCACAAGATTAAAAGAGTCTGTAAGTCCCCAGAGTAGAAAGGTCAAGAATCTGCTTGAGACTGTTGAAAAGTTGGAAATGCAAGGACTTGTTTGAACCACGATTTGGGAGAGATTAAAGGAGCCTGGAGTGAGGTTTTTGGTGGGGTTTGTGGTGGAGTTTTTGTGGGGTTTTTGTGTGGGGTTTTTGCTCACCTTTGTGACCTCAGAATACTGGAGCAATTTCTTCACTGAGAAACACCCCAGGCCTCCTCAAACACACAAATGGGCACCTATAGGACACAGATTAGAACTGCACCTCCCCTGTGGCTTTGCAGTTTGGAGCCAGGTGCATTGTCACATTATTGTGGAGTTAAATAAAGCAGCAGCACAATCCCCTGTGAAAAACAGCTGTGGCCAAATGAGCTTGGTTCCTTCTTTGCACTATCCAGACACTTGGTGTCACTGAGCTCCTTTAGGTCAGACAAATTTCCCAAAATGGGAAAATGAGCTGCTGGTGGTGCAGCAGCCTGCCTGGGATCCTGTTAAAATGCTTCCTGGCAGTTTTAGTACAGGGATTTAGGATCCTCAGGAAGGTCTGCAGTGCTGTAGGTGAGTTTTGTTTAATTTAAAGGTTAGTTTAGAACGAGTTTCTGGTAGATTGGTTGTGGTGTGAGATTTTTTTTGTTGGCTCTTTTCCCCCTCCTAAGGATGATAAATTATCAACAGAGTTCTTAACTGCTTTCCCCAGGCTGCCAAAAGGCTCAGTGTAATAATTCCTAATAGTTAAAGGAAAAGCTTCACTAATCCAGTTATTCTTAAACCTTGCTGTTGGGAGGTAAAGGTGAACTGGGAACTGAAACACCCCCAATAACTCCCAAGCTTTTTGGGTCCCCAGTTTCTGTTGCATCTGCTCAAAATGTACAGACACAGAGAGGGGGCAGAGACTGGGATACCTTTTCTATTTTCCAGCTGATTATGACAATCTAAATAATTTTAAAATATATGAGGAGAAAATTATTTTAAAAGATATGAGGAGATGACCCGAGATAAATTCCCCTCACTCTGGCAAAATGTTTTCCCCAGAAATGGGTGGGTTCTTGAATTGTAAATACAGTCCTATATTTATTGTATTTATGTCTCAGCGTGGTTTGATTTTCAGGGTGTTTTTTTTTTAATTTGGGTTTTTTCCTTGGAGTCTAAGGCAACACTGACCTGCCTGTGTTTTATATCCGAAGTGGCTTTTCAGGCAGGTAAGAGCAGTGTTTTTCCTGCCCTGTGAGGCTTTGTGTGATGTGCACAGGTCGGTGTGGGCTGGGGTGGCACAGCCCTGACACTGAGCACGTGTAGGTGTCCTCTGGTCTCACCAAGCTGGCCCAGTGTCCTGCCTTGTGCCAGTGGCAGGTGCTGCCCTTGTGAAGCAGCACTGCTCTTTTCTCAAATATCCACTCCTGACCACAGAACAAAGGCTTACTAAGAGGAAACCACTTTTGGCATCTCTTTATTCAACCTCGTCCTCGGGTCGAGTTCTTGTCCTTCTCTAGCAAGACCAAGCCCTGTGGAGGTTGAGCAAACCAAGGTCAGGTGTTCCCTCACCCTCCCGAGGGCACAGCCAGCTCCAGGGCTGGAGATCACAGCTTTTCCACCCCAGAGCTGTGTTTGGGGTGTAGAGATCTGCAGTCACACCAGGCTGAGCACAGGAGCTCTGGTTAAACACCAGCAGAGGAGCCCAGCGTGATTCTTGATCTTCTGACATTTCCATTCTGATTTCTGCAAGTGTT